TTCACGTAAAATTTTTCTAAGTCATTTGTTCAAAAAGGTAAAAAGTAGAAGATGATGATTTATTATCTAATACCCAATTCTTACTAATGGTAATACTAGATACCATTCAATTTCAAGGACCTGAGAGGTATTAGACATTATTGTAATTCATTTCAATTCCTTTCATCATGAAATTCAATGAGCTTTTTATATTAGCCATATGTAAAGTGACATGTGGCTCAGAATTTTTTTTTTAAATGATCCCAACTAGAAGTAGAATAACTTAGGAAATGGAGCTAGAATCTCCAATGGCCCTGCTTCTCCCTAAGGCCCAGGTGAACATAACTGATTGGCTAGGCTTAGGTCACGGGTTTTGTTTCAAGGAGGGGTTGGGAGGTTAGAGCCTGGGATTTTTTACTTCTGTAGTAGAATCTGGTTGCCCACCAAGATTCAAGAAGAGAGTTAAACAAAAATTTCTCAACATAAAAATGGGGTTAAGATGCTGAGTAGCTAAAGCAGCAAAAAAAAAAAAAATTATAAAACAAATGCCCAACACAATCTCTCAGAATTATTAGGCACAGTTGAAATATTCTTTCTTACATTTCCATGACATTACTTTCTTTTTCTCCTATCTATAATATTATGATTATTCCAGCTCAGTCTCCTTTGCAGTCTCCTTTCCCCCTTTTACCTGACTTTCAAATGATAGAATTCCTCGCAGCTTAATTATGGACCTTCTTCCCATTGTTTACTTAATATTTGTGTTTTTTCTTCATTTGCTCCTCAAATCTGTTCACTGCTCCATTCTCTATCATGGCATTTGCTCTGGGAATCTGACATTCATGGCTGCATCACCTGGGTTCTCTTGTCTCCTGATTTCTAATTGGGGTTGGCCAATGGAATGTACCACTAGGATCTCAAAAGTTGGGAGGAGAGGTCATATATTTATTTCTCCCATTTTCTCCTGGCTTTGGCATTCTGGCTTTGGCATTCTGCCAGTGGCTAGGTTACTTTCAATTATAGCTCCTGTGTGGTGCCCCTTTTCTAACAAGTCCACATCTCAACTTCACATTATTTCTCTCCTTTAACTTTTCAGGTCTAAGAGTGGTAATCATTTCCTATTGTTAATAGTCTAAGTTACCCCAACATCCTTTATTGGCTGTCTTTATCCTGTCTATATTTCTTTAAATAGTCTCTTCAAATTCCAGTTGAGTATTCCATTTATTTTACTTCCTAACAGGACTCTGATTAGTGCTTTTTTTTTTTAAGATTTTATTGGGGAATTGGGGGAGGGGAACAGTGTTGGGGAATTGGGGAAGGGGAACAGACAAGTTACTGTCCTTTTGTTCTTCAGTCTAGTTGTGGAGGACATCACTTCACTGGCCCATGTTGGTATTATCATTGTGCTCTTCCCGGGTGAGGCAGTCACTCGCTGGTCATTGGAAGGCCACTCACAGCAGCTCATGGCAGCTCACAAAAGTTTAAGCCCACCACCAGCCAGCCTCACTGCAGCCTATGCAGTTGCTGGCAACTCATGGCAGCCCAGCTCCAGGTTGATCTGTTGTTCACCATCTTAGCTGTAGAGGGCACAGCGTCACTGGCCCTCATGTGGGATCTGAACTGGGGCCCTGCTGCTCAGAGCTGGTGTCCCAAGCCAACTCCTAACCAACACGACACTTGGCTGGCCCTGATTAGTGCATTTTTATATGCTGATTACTCTCACATTTGTATTTGACTTCCTCTCTGAGCTCTAGCCTAGAATATCTAATTGTTCACTTAACATCTCCACTTGAATGTCATAACCTTGCCCATAAAATTTGGGTATTTGCTTAATGAAGGGTACCACAGTGCATTGAGTTAGAAACTTGCATAAGCTAGAAATTTGGAAGTTACCCTTGATGTTTCTCCTTCCCTCACCTCCCATAATCAAATATCAAGGCCTGTTAAAGCTAATTCCTAAATGCAACCTAAATCCATCCACTTCTTTCCATTTCCAATTCACCAGTCTAGTCTGAATCATGAACATATGTAGCCTAGAATACTGGAATATTAGTCTCCTGCATCCAAGCTTTCCCTCTTCCAATCCATTTTCCATGCTGGAGCCAGAGTGAATCCTTTAAAAATGTAAAATTGGATAACGTCCCTCTTAAGCCTAAACTTCAATGGGTTCCTACTGTCTTTAGATAACGTGCAATATCCTTAATATGTCTTTCAGTATCCATCACGGTGTGGCCCTTGTATGCCTCAACAGCATCAAACTTTATCACTCTGCACCTTGCTCACTAAACCTTAGCCCCAAGTGGTGTCGTTCTGGTTCTTCAAATACATGATGCTCTTCCTACCTTTGTATATGCTGCGTCTCTGACTAGAATGTTTCTTTCTTGTTTTTACCACCACAAGTATCATTCTAAATGTACTAACTCTTACTTATCACTCAGTGTCATCTCTCTCTCCCTCCTCCCTCATATAACCACTTTACATAATTGTAAATTAGGTAAGGTATAATTGACATAAAGTAAATTGGCATAAATAATACACCCATGAAATCCTTATCACAATCAAGATAACATATTCACCACCCCCAAAACTGTTCCTCTGTCCCTTTGTAAGCCATCCTTCCACACCTCCCCACATGTACACCCATCTCCAGGCAACCGTTAATTTGCTTTCTATTACTACAGATTAGTTTACCATTTTTGGAATTTTATATAAGTAGAATCATACAGTATATGCCCCTTTTTGTCTGCCTTTTTTTTTTTTTTACTCAGCTTATCTATTTTGAGATTGACTCATGTGGTAGCATGTATCAGCATCTCGTTGTTTTTTATTGCAGAGGAGTATTTCATTGTACTCCTTTGTTTAGCCATTTATCTTTTGGTGGATTTGGGTTGCTTCCAGTTTGGGGCTATTACAAGGAAAGCTGTTATGAATATTCATGTGCAAACTTTTGTGTGGACATATGTTTTCATTTCTCTTGACCGGGAGTGGAATTGCTCTGTCATACAACAGGTGTATATTTAATGTTTTAAGATACTGTCAATGTATAGGATAACTGACATATAGTATTGAGTTTTCTGAACATAGTATATATACCACTTATTTAGGCCTCCTTTAATTTCTGTCAGCAGTGTTTTATAGTTTTCAGCTACAGGTTTGCACATTTTGGGGGAGTAAGTCAGATTATTCCAGTTTGACACTATTGTAAGTACTACTTTTTAAGGGAGAATTTCTGATTGTTTAGTTATTCATTGTTAGTATTTAGAAATACAATTTATTTTTGTATATTAGTCTTGCATG